TTCAAATGCCTTCATTGAATCTAACTTTGTGAATTTCTCGTTTTTTACATTTCGCTGTGCACAGTCACCCCAACTCTTGACTATTTACTGCTTATTTGAATCACTCATGTGTACTGCATGACTTGAAATCTAGTTACTGCTATCGAATTCACAACCTAGGTATGGAACCTTTTGATAAGCTAACCCGACTCGAATCTCTTCATTTCACATGACTTGGTCCAAAGTTGGCATTGTTCCATCGAATTCTCATTTGGATTATTTCCCCCCAATATGAGCCATTTACAGACACGATTGCACTTTTTGAATAAGTAATTGTCTCCTTTGGAAGCCGCGCGGGCACTGATATGTTAGCCTATTGATTGCTTCCGCCCCCGTACTCGTGAGTGGAAAACATCTAGCGTCTCACAGCACTCTTTGTAGTCAGCCTCAAACCTCTTAAATACAATTACATGACATCCCTCATTGCTCTGTCATATGAAGAGTAAGATTACGACTTTGAATAGAACTTTCTATTCCCTGCAAGTAATTTCGTCGCACTAATCAATTTAATTCATTGGCTAAGGCTGCTTAACTGCTGCACTTTGCCCTTTGATTGTTTTATCCGCTTTTGAATTAACTGGCCTGTTGCAAGGTAGGTGGTATTTATTAACCTCATTGATAATGTATTCGGCATCGTAACAATCCGACTAGATTATGAGGGCCGTACCAGCAATCGATCGCCTATCAATTGGTGTTCGTGAGTGCGCTTCGCACCGATTCCAGCTTCTTCTGGACGGAATGGATGAGGAGTAGTAATGTAGATTATTCCCAGATTTTTTGCTGTTTTATCCGGTTTAAGTACCGCCATGACTGCATGTGATGCTACGTGTAGACTGCTTCCTTGATCTTTGCACGTGTGCATGCACTGAAATACCCGCGGTTCGGCAAAAGTCATCACCGCCAATCTAGCGCAAAAGCTGATTCACTTCAAATTACGCATGAATGTTCTGCACTTTTCGCATTCAGAACTTGAAATCCCAATCAATCACTGCAGCTAATTGGGAATCCAGGCAGTGTATAAGCCGACGTATGTTAGGCATTTACGTAGTAAAAGCTTCCAGTCATTTTTAGCATGATGTTGTATGAGGTCTGATTTTTTGCCTTCGTACGTTTGTGGCACACAACAAAGCCTTCGTAGCTCTAAGTGAAGTTATTTCGTATGAGCGTAGGGACGGGTATCTTGGAGCTCACTCGTATGCTCATTGTCTGCTAAATATAAATATCGTATGTTCCATTAGCAGCAAATGGTGGTATTCATAAAGGTAGTCGGTAGGTGGAGAATATGCTCTACCAAAACTTCGAAGTTTTTGATATGTTTTGCACTAACTCATTGCTGCTCTCAAACCGGCAGCATTCTCCAATCATGACCACCCCAGGATGTTTCGGCCTAGCTATGAGCCGTGTCGTTGCAGGTGGCTGAGGAGAATGGTCTGGAGGTGGAGGCTGCAATGGCGAATGCTCAGGTACCTACAGACTCGATCGCCCACCCCATTGGCGGGGAACGCGTGTCCGGAGCTGAAGATGCCCTAACCGAAAGGTAGACTTGTACTATGCCGTCTGTCCTCTGAAGATACATACATAGTTCTTTCATTACATCCCAAACAGTGACTCGTCTGTAAAATTTCAGTTCACTCATTTTTCCTTTCATAGGCTTGCTGCGCTGCGGAACTAAATTTCCATCTCAGTGGAGGTGTACTGGTTTTTTACTCAATTTGTATCCGACGTTGCTGGGAAACTCCACAAAACCGTAGTGATCCAAAGACTCCTCTTGACTTCCCACATGTCCACACTACCTGTCCAAATACTACAACCTTATTGTGCTACAAATTGCATGGACTAATCGATGTATCACTTTCTGCTACTTCATATGGATGCGGAGCAGAGGGGATAAAAATATGCCATATTTTCCTTATGAGAATTGCCGCAAATAATAACTTACAATATATCAAAGTACTGTATGGCAGGAACGTCCAGCGTGAGTTGATGGTTTTGACCAAGTAAAATGTATCGAGATTGAAGTAGGCAGTATTTTGAAAGATGGAAAAGTATGCGAAGCGGGTTATTGGCCATTAACGCACAGGCGAGCAGCAGTGTACAGGGCGGCAAAAACGATTAGGTTCCCAGTTAAGGTTAAGCCACATGCACTCCAATTTATCTGAAGGCAAATGATAAACAGGCTTGACGTACCAAAGGGGCCGAGAGAGGAGCGTGGGCTAGGACGATTGGGAGTGCGAAACAAGACGCAACGAGGGCAGTGTGAATAAAGAGCAGCACACTCCACACAGCACTCTCCCTCTCACATTGTGAATTTATCGCCAATACAAGTGGAATAGGTGCAATGAGGTAGAATGGGATGACTCCAAATGGTTTCCAATTGCTACACAAGTTAACAAATTAGGGCAATCACTAACTATTGTCCTGTAATGACGCACCCAACCACAAGCATCGTAAATCCAACAGAAATCAGGAAAGCTAAGCCCACAATACCTAAACGCCAGTATGAAATTTAGGTAAAGTACATTTTATGTCCATAGCGCAAGAAGCCTATCGAAATCGGTGAGTCCGGCAATGCAATCATAAAGCAAAACAAAAGTATTTTACAATTTTAACATTAAAAACTACTTATATAATTATTTTTAATTTTAAAAAGCATGGCAAATTTAAATACAAATAATGTATATAATAAATGTAATTCTACAATATAAGGTGACTTTGAAATCAATGACTCTTCTGGTTATGATAAAAGAACTTGTTTAAGCGGCCATTCAAGTGTTACACATACTGTATTGCTTAAGTTTGCTTTTATAGGGGTGAGGTGTGAAATGATTTCGAACGCGAACCCGATGGTTTCCTTCATACTCCTTCCCTCGTCCTTCTTATATCAATGCCTAATAAACATACTGAAACTGACCCTCTTGACGTCCGAGGTTCAAAGATATGAGAGTAGGCAGACGATCCCTGGATTAACTGCGTCACGATTGCGTTGACATTTTTATCCCTCGCGAATAGGTCGAGTTCTTTTACTTCGTCCTCAAATCT